CCTCTGTGCTCCATGGGGTTTTCAATGGCTCCATCCACTCTCACAGTTCCCTCTAACACAGCCAGGATTCATGTGATTATATTGTGCCCACCCAGATAATTCAGGGTAATCTCCCATCTCAAGGTCTTTGCTCTCAATCACATCTGCAAAGTCTTTTCTGACATTGAGGTAACATAGTCACAAGATCTGGGGATTAGGTGGTGGGCATTTTTGTGGGGAACACTATTCTGTCTACCAGCAATAATTACCTCCTGTTTATGAGAAAGTTCCAAAGGCCTGTCCCCAGACACAGTGGCTGTCACAATGTGCTCAAACATAGCAATGATTGGAAGAAGGTGCAGGACTGAGCGGTGTTTTGTTCTTTTGTGCATAGTTTTGTTCTGTTGTTACATGTAGGGTCTCTATGAGTCGGAACCGATATGATGGGACCTAACTAACAAAAAATAACAGCACCATGTATAGAGGTAGAGTTCCCGGGTGTTGCAAACAATTAACACACTTGGCTGCTAACTGGAAGGCTGGAAGTTCAAGTCCACTCAGAAGTGCCTCAGAAGAAAGGCCTGGTAACCTACTTCTGAAAAATCAGCACTGAAAGCCCTGTGGATCATGGTTCTACTCTAACACACATTGTCATTGTTGTTAGGTGCGGTCAAGTCAGCTCCAACTCATAGTGATCCTACATACAACAGAATGAAACACTGCCCGGTCCTGAGCCAGACTCACAATCCTTGCTATACCTGAACCTACTGTTGGCAGCCAGGGTGTCAATCATCTTGTTGAAGGCCTTCCCCTTTTTCGCTGACCCTCCACTTTACCAAGCATGACATCCTTCTCCAAGGAATAGTCCCTTCTAACAACATGACCAAAATAGGTAAGATGACGGTCTGGCCATTCTCTCTTCCAAGAAGCATTCCAGTTGCACTTCTTCCAGGACAGATTTGTTAGTTCTTTTAGAGGTCCATGGTATTTTTGCTATTCTTCACCAGCACCAAAACTCAAAAGCATCAACTCTTCAGTCTTTCTTATTCATTGTCCAGCTTTCACGTGCATATGAGGTAATTGAAAATACGCAGCTTGGGTTTAAAAAACAAACAAACAAA